CACACACACAGTCAAAATGAGAATGCTATATTCTATGTGTTTTACTACAGTAGCAAAGAGACAAACAACAAAACCATCCCCAACCAACCCCTCCCTCTTGTGAAGTTTCTGACAATGTCACCATCTCCTTCCTAAAGCAACTCACTCCTGCAGAGTTCCCTCCTCTACACAGGACCTCATGGCTTGCCATGCCCTCCTTTGTTCACTTGAGCAGGGCACTGACTGACAGACACCTTGGATTAGGGATGCAGTTTGGGGAATGAGTCTAACTCCAAGGATCCTTCCCAGTATCTAGCCCACAGCCCAGAGCTAAGTTTCTTCCTGAAGTCTGTAAGAATGAATAGCCCAAAGCAATTGTGATTTACTTTCAAGATTTGTCAGCAACTGCAGCACGCAAGCCTAACCCCGCCAAAATAAATTTTCTGCCCTTCCGTTAAGCAACAAGGTCAGAAGGGGATTCCGTGGACAGAGTTAATAAACAGCTAACATGGAAGGAATAATCAAAACATAGTCAGGGTAGGTTGGTTGAGGCGTGAGCATGCATCTCAAAGGGCACCCAGCTCTCTCTCCTGTGGTTGCTGAGCTGATTCACTTCCTGCATCCCTTCGCAGGGCAAGGAGAGAGGGGAATGTGGAGCAGGGACACAGGACTCATTACTGTGCTGCCCTGCACTGGAAGGTTGCCGACCATACCCATGCCTTCTACCCCCCTCCTTCTTGTGTAACTCAAGGTCCAGAGGCACAGAGAGTTTGGCCTTGGCTCTCAGCATGAGGTCCAACAGCCTTGCTTTCCCTCTGACCTGTTCCATTCACTCCTCATTCATGCACAGGGCACACTCATTGAACTATCTGGAAGCCCTTTTGTACCGAGAGACATTCTGGGGGAGGGGAGGTCTTCAGAGACTTCATGCAGCCCTACTCAACCAGAGGTGATGCTGGCCCAGGGCACATCTGGTGATGTCCAGAGGCATTCTCAGATGTCAAAAATGATTTAGAAGTCCACCATAATGCCACAAATCTTTAATCCCAGCCAGTCAAGGGAGATATATATTCCAGTAGAGTACTGGCTGCTGCTCTTCCAGAGTACCTAGGTTTGGTTTCAGCTACATGGTAGCTCATACCATCTTTAACTCCCTATTCTGGTCTCTATGGGTACTATACACACACACACACACACACACACACACACATATATATACACATGTGTGTATTTACATATACATACATATATATGACTCAGGGGGTGATATGGTGTGGCAGCACTATATAGAGGTTAAGGGTACAGGGAAACACCCACTATGGCACAAAACAGTCCCCTTCTCTCTGCCTTCAAATGGCAATAGAGCTAAAGGTGGAATCCAGGTTACTCTGCCAGATAAGGAAGCTGAGGCTCAGAGAGACATAGGTCCAATGTCACACTGCCAGCTGGACAATGTTAGAACCAGAACCTGAGGGGGCTATCTACCAGCCACATTGGCCTTCAGCTGTTGGGAATGTAGCCAAGGCCAGTGGCAGGATCCTGGAGCATCTAGATTCTGAGTTCTAGGATCTAGAGGCTATATGGTTGGACTCTGCATCTCTGACAGGCTCCCAATGAATTCCCCAAGTTGCACTGGCCACCTTGGCTACAAAGCTACTAATTAACCAAAGAGGGAAGACCTTAAGGGGCAAAATGCCTTGCCTGAGGCTCAGGCAACTTTTCTTCCTCAGGTCCAGAGCCTGCTGTGGATGATCCTGGCCTGGTCAAGGTCGGAAAGCAGGAGAATACTACAGGCTAAAATCTAGCTTAGCAGATAAGTCATTGATGGGGATGAAACTGGGCCACGACTTTGGGGAACACCATCCTTGTATCTTCGCATGTGATGGCTCCCCTCTGCCAGCCTACATACTCTCATAACAATCTCCAGGGTCATCCTTGTCCTTGTCTCTAAAGTCAACACTGTCTCCAAGTGAGGGCCGGACACTGGACAGCAGAGTGAACACTGACTCATGAAGTGTTGCAACAGGCGTACTTTTCCATTCTCTGTGGTGGAAAGCCATCAGACTTGTAGGTGAAAGCCAACATGCAAAGGGACAGAAAACCAGGTCTCAATCATGGCCTTACTCTCTCCAAAAGGGAATCCACAGAGGATGGCTAGGGGCAAGGATGGCAGAGGGATGGGAGGTCTACAATAGCCTCAGAGACAGGAGAAGCCTCTCCCTGACTTATTGAGGTAAAACCTGCCCAGGCTTCCTTGCTGGCTCACACTTCCTCAACTACTCCAACAAGCTGGGAAATTACACATTCTTCAAGGCTGGGCTCCCATACTCCCTGCCCCAACTCCAAGGTACTAGCAGGTGCATCCCAGTGCTGACAATGAACTGGGCTGTTCAGGGTCATAGGCAGGGCTAAGGCAAAAAGCCAAAGCTCCCAGTGGGTATATGAGGGTCAGGCAGAAAAGCTGTTTTCTGTATGAGGGTGTGCATCCCACCCCTACCCCCAAGCCTCTCCTCCCGCATTTCTAGGGGAACCTCTGAGCTCCCCTTCCCTACCTGGCTTCTCAGACTGGCCACTTAGCATAGTTCATCTTAGCCTCCACCCTTCTTAGGAGGCTGGGATTCCTCCTCATTGGGACTCTTCCACTGTCCCTTGCGGTAGCCATCAGCTCATCGATGAGAGATCCCTCTAGGTAACTCTGGGGGCAGCCAGCCTGAAGGTACTTGGCTGGGTTCTGGGAGCCCCCTGAGCTCTTCTCTCTCCTGGCCTCTATGGCAGAATGTCACTTCTCCTTACATGGGGAAGAAGTAGGGGGAGAGGGATCCAAGGCTCTCCAGGTCTCGGGAATTATGGGCATTTTCCTTCTTGTAGAGATTAATTCTGATCAGTGAATACTTCTTGCAAAGATACTTGTATGCTCCATGCTCCTGATGGGGTTTGCTCTCTGGGGGACACCAGGATGCACAGTTACTGCTCAAGGGAGATATAAAGCCCACCTAGAGGACCCAGATTAAAACACACACACACACACACACACACACACACACACACACACACAAAATCACTCACACACACCACCCACTGGATTTGCTCTGCAGCCTACAGATGACTTCGGGAGAGCACCCATTTGCTCATGAAACCTTATTTTTCACTAAGGGAAACTGAAGCAAGGAAAATGAATTCCTTTCCCAATCCTTGGCAACCCTGCAGGGTGGTAAGAATCAGGAAAAGGCAATAACAGGGCTAGAGAAAGCTGGAGAGATGGCTCAGTGCTCTTCCAGAGCACCCAGGTTCAATTCCCAGCACCCACATGGCAGCTAACAACTGTCTGTAACTCCAGTTCCAGGGGCCCAACACCCTCACACAAACATACATAAAGGCAAAATACCAATGCACATAAAATAAAAATTTAAAAATATTAAAAAAGGAAAGGCAATGGCAAGTAGCGTTTCCTAATGAAATCTCCTGGTGAGTGGGGAAGAATTCCACTAGGTGGGATAAAGTCTCTCATGCCTCAGCTCAGGAGACGGACACACTGGCTGTCCACTCCACCCAGCACATTGTCTTTCCTTGCCCCTACAAGAAGTGGGACTAACGATAATGGTTTTATTGCTGGATTAAGAAAGAAGTTGACCCACGTAGAGGCAGTGTGTGAAGGCATCTGGGAGTTATGTCTGAAGTTTTCTGGTCCTACGTTTCCAAGACCTTCCTGCTCTTCAAGGGCAAAGACCTGCCTGCTATTTCTGGTTAACTCATGCTGTTCTGGCCAAGTTTCTTCCTGATGCCAAGCACTATGGCTACAGAAGGGAATGCGGGTCCTGCCTCCTGCTGTCAGGGAGCTTAACAAGGGGCTGGACCGGTCTTGGCAGTGTTTCCTGAGGGGATTTGAATTCTATTTGGAAGTGCCCTTGCCTTGCACACTCCTGAACTGCAGAGAAGCTCAAGGAGAAACAGGCCCCTGATGGTCACAACCAGCAAAATGGCTCAGCAGGTGGGTAAAGGCACTTGCTACCAAGCCTCACAACCTGAGTTCAATCCCCAGGTTCCACATGGTGGAGGACCTATCCTGCAAGCCTTCTGATTTCCATATCCCCCCCCCCACACACACCCCACACAGTAATAAACAATCTTCTAAACACAGAAGCACCTGGTCTCAAGAGGTGGTTGAGGTCCACCAGTGTTTGAGCCAAACGCTTAGCCTTTTGAGGTCCTCTTTCTTTCTTCATCTAGCACCTGTGTGGTCTGTCTGGCTCTGAGGAAGGCAGTTTTCCTTTCTCCACTAGGCAGTGCTCACTTCTCTCACTGAAGGAAGAAAGCCCATTGTGTGCACACCCATAAGGGTTTAGTGGGCTCTGGTGCTCTGCACCTGCAGGTTGCAGTCTCCTCGTGACCTAGGCTCATCAGACTTGGACTTAAGCATACTTGGATGAGCATCAATGAGGACCCGGTGTGACCAAACAGAATAAGGCAGGGAAAGAAGAAGAAGAAAAAGAAAAAGAAAAAAAAAAAAAAAAGACAGCTCTTTATGGCCTGTGTACCCTCTTTATCAGGGTGCAGGCCTACCTCTTTAGGCACAAAACTGTGCCTTCCATGCACACTATTTGACTGGTTCATAGCGTGTGTCTGGGGGAAGGAGGCGGGAAGTACAGACATAAACATCCCTAAGGCTTAAGAATTACCAACTGTCAGTTCCCATCCTAGGATCCCCCCCCCCCCAGGTTTGGAGAGCCAGAATGGGGAGGGTGTCTGCTTTGCTGCTCTAATTAAGAAAAAAACTGGATGCTCAGGGAGACTGGGGCAGAGGCATCTCCGCTTTCACGTGGACTCGGGGCGCGTGGGTACAAGTGTCTGCCTTGGCAGTAGCCTAATGCACCGCCGTCCAGGCGCAAACTTTCCAAGATCCATCTCCAAGCAGCGCCCGCTCTCTGCTGCTCTGCAGCAGAGAGAAGGAGCGCATGGACTGGGTGGACGCACGCGAGGCGGAGACCCGTGGGGAACACTGGCCGAGTTCCGCCCTCGGTTACCTGGGTTCTGAGGCTCACTGGTGTCCAGTGGACAGGGCGCAGAGACACGGCAGAGGCAGATTGGAGACGGGCCACTCCTCCTGGGCCACCGCGGGCCCCCAGGCTCAAGGGAACTGCACCTGGAGCACCAGACGGCGCGCCCTCCAGCCGCGGGTCCCCGCCCAGGCGGTCCTGGCATGGGGCGGGGCAGGGCGGCCCCGGGGAGGAGCCGCGAGATGGGCTTTCCTTCCAGCTCCCGGGCTGCGCCAGGCCTAGAGCCCTGAACCATAGGCCTCTTCATCTCTAAAGTCTCGCCATGTCTCTTCAGACTCAGGTGTCCCTTAGCTGTAATCTGAAGTGCACACCGTCCTCTTTCGCACCCTGCACCCTCTGGTGGGTACTCCACACTACCCCTACCCTTAGATCTGAGGTCTGGGAATCCGGAGGCCACCTTGCGGGTACAGCTTGCTGAAGACATGAAAGCAACTGGTGTGATGCCCCACCCCATGGAGTCCTCTCCCCTGCGGAGAGGCTCCTGGCTATGACCCCTGCCATCAGTCCTCCAGGACAATGGGTCCTTTACAATGCTTTAGTCTTCTCAGGGGGCTCTGAGTCCCAGATCCTAGGCTCCCAGATTGGAAGGTGCTGGGCATGGCCCTCTGCCAGCTAGTGGACACAGAGATAAGAATGAAGGGGCACAGAAGACAAACCTGGCTCCAAGGATCTGGAAGCTGGCTCTCCAGGTGCAGAAGAACAGCGCAAAGCCACTTCCTCCTCTCCCATCCCTCTGCAGGCAGTCAAGCCCCAGGATCAATTTGAAAGGCTCCATTGGCCAGTGGCCAGACCTCTTGGTCCTCCTTCTAGTCACCTCCCTTCTGCTCCCTGCCCGGTCTTGCTGACAGGTATGGGCACTAGGACCAGCAGGAGAGTGGGCCTCCGGACAACTGAGTCCTAGTCCCCATTCAACCCTGACCTTGATTAAAGTCCTGGCCCCTTCCAGGTCTGTTTCTGGATGGAGTCACTGTGATGTGTTGAAGCAAATTGCCTTCAGCCCCCTTTCTAGATCTCTGATCATGACATTAGGCACCTTGCTTTATAGTTTGGTGGTGGCTTTTGTATTCTCAGATCTCTCTCTCTCTCTCTCTCTCTCTCTCTCTCTCTCTCTCTCTCTCTCTCCCTCTTGTGTGTGTGTGTGTGTGTGTGTGTGTGTGGTGTATGTGTTCATGTACATTTATATATTTTGGTGAGCTCCAGGGATCTACCTGTCTTTGCCTCCCAATGTTGGGATTACAAGCATGAGCCACTAATTCCTGGCTCTCTCTCTCTCTCCCTCTCCCTCTCTCTCTCTCTCTGTGTGTGTGTGTGTGTGTGTGTGTGTGCACGTGTGTGTGTGTGTGTGTGTGTGTGCCTTGTGTGTCCAGGTGTCCATGGAGGCCAAAATCAAAGGTGTTGGTTGTTGGATCCCCTAGGTTACAGGTGGTTGTGAGCCACTGGATGTGGGTGCTGAGAACTGAACTCTGGTCTCCTGAAGGAGCAGCAAGTGCTCCTGCTGCTGAATCTTTTCTCCAGCTCCTGGTCCCTTTAACACACGGATTGTGGGGATGGAACATAGGTGTTTATGCTTGAAAGGCAAGCACTTTACTAGCTGAGCTATCTTCCCAGCACTCCCACACCTAATTGCTTAAGGGGAAAGTGTCTTAGCCACATAAGCAGGCAAGCATACTCTGCAAACCAGAGTTTGACAATGGGCTCCAGGCTATACTCAGCCTTGGGTGAATCCACTAGTTGGAGATGCAGATCCCTACTTTGTCTTCCCAAGGCTATCAGCAGAAGAGTGTAAGGGCTGTGTCCCCATCCCATGCCCCAGCTGCCAGCAGGGATGGCAGTAACAGGAGAACTGCCATCCCTGAATGTCTTCTGGCACGTCTTTTGATTATGGCATCGGTATGGCATTGCTTTGGAGACAGAAGGTGGCATGCAGCATTCTCTGGGAGGCCTCTTTGTACTCCTTAGGGAAGCTGCAGAACCCACAGTATGGGTGTACACCCCACTTCCAGCAGCCAAGGTAAACAGAGGTGCTACTGTCCACCTAGAGTCCTGCCCACTGCAGGCATGCGCACCTTTTAAAAGGAAGCAGACTCCTAAGCCAAATGCATGTGGCCCTTGCTGATTAATCCATCAGCATGTCTTAATTCATGACAGTCTCACACATGGGCATCATATCCATCTTTGCTCTGTGCACAGCCATATGGAGGGCTGGAGAGATGGATGGATCAAGAATTAAGGGCAATTGCTGCTCTTATAGAGGACCTGGGTTTAGTTCCCAGCACCCACATCAGGCAGCTCACAACTGCTTGTAACTCCAGTTTCAGGGGATCCAATGCACACGGTACAAGCCCATATACTCGGTCGCGCACACACTTCAGTGGTAGATAGGTAGCCATGTGGAACAGGGAGAGAGTGAGGGTAAGCACGCAGGAAGATCACAGCCGGGGAAAGAGAAGTGACAGGCTGCTGGCATAGACAGAGGAGAAAGCATAGAGTGCTGGGTTCAATTCACAGTGTTGTGCTGGGGAATTGGAGAGCCTGAGAGATAAGTGACTTGCCCAAGGTCACACAGTCACAGGACATAAGTAGCAGAATTGAAAATGTAGACCCAGGTCCTCAGGATTAGGTGTTATTTTAGGCTTTCTTTGCAACCCAAGGAAATGTAGACCCTGGGAAGTATGGGGTGCCTTGGGGTGGAGAGGAGGAACTGAGCCAGGAACTAGCACTGGGAGATGTTCATAGCAGTGAAATTACTGGGGCAAGCTGCTGGGACAACGGGCAGGATCTGGAGGGAGGCAGGAGAGCCAGATTGACAACTGCAGATCTAGAAACTCAAGCCAGCTGGGGAAATAGGGGCACAGGATGTCCTTGGAGACACAGCCCCCCACATGCCCAACAAGACTGCAGGCCACCTGCCAAGAAAGCAGTGGGTAATACGGTTGGGCAGGATGAACTCCAGGGCTCAGACAGTCTGTATCCAAACAGCCTTGGCCAAGCTAGTCCTGTCCTCTGAGCCCTGGTTTCTCCACCTCTGAAGTAGCAGGTAACCTCTTCCTTCCCAGGGTTACCGTGTGGCGGAAGATCGCATCTGGCAACACTCTGCAAGCACAGAGCACACAGCAGGTCTAAACTGTGCTGCAGTGTGGTTTCTTCCCACCAGCCTCAGTGTTGCCTCGCGGAGGTGGCATGTCAGCCTGGGTGAGCAGACCTCACACTGCAGGGATCGGCAGGTGACAGAGGGTGGCCCAGAGAGGGTGGGGAGGATGAGGTCAGTCTTAGAGGTCTGTCTCCCTCTGATATCTCCACAAACTCACACCAAGGACCCAGTCCAATCCACATAACCCAGCATCTCCCATCTTGTCCTTTCTCAGGCATTTGATTGACATCCCCTCCGGGACTATCACCATGTGTGCCCATCCTTCAGGGGACTTGCTAGCTCCTCTAGACTGGGTCTAGACAGTGGGCTCCTGTGTCTGTTCAAAATGGGTTGTGTGGCTATTGTCTCAGTGGAGAAAGAGCTTGCCATGCAAGCCTGCCCTTTGCCCTCCAGACCCACTGTGGTCTGAGACAACCAACACCCAAAAGAGTCCTGTGATATCCCCTGATGTCCTGTGATAACCATTTTATGCCATGGCACTTGCATGCTATACACACAAATACATAAAAGTGTGAAAAAAATCAAAGGAAAGCATTGTCCACCTGTGGGTGGTGACACATACCTGCAATCCAAATACTCCAAGGCAACGCAGTGAGGCTCTGTCTCGGAAAGGAGGGAGAGAGGGAGGAAAGAGGATGAATAAGAGGAAGGGCGGGGCACGGAAGAGAGATTCTCTCTCAGCTTCCTGTTCCGGTGTTTCTGGGTTCGCAGGCTGTCTGTCCACTCTCTGCTTCCTGTCTTTCCATGCTTTGCCTCCGTCTTCACACCGCTGTCCCCGTGTCCCCATGTCTCTTCGCTCTGTCTAAGCATACCACTTTTTGGGCCAGGACACTCTGAACTTCATAACATCCTTAGACCTGTGGTCGATGTCACAGCAGTGAGGATAAGGACACACAAAGGGAGACTGGCGTAACTCCAAGCCATGGTGGGACTATGAAGGAAGAAAAATGTTACAGCTGTTTAGAGACGTGGCTAGGAGCGGGGCTGGGGGTTCACCTCCCATGACTTCCTTTCCTGGCCATCTCAGTCAGTGGTGTAGCTGTTACCTCTGAGATGGAGACATCCCATCCTATAGGACGTTCCTTAAAGAGGAAGGTTAACAACTCAAAATAGCTTCAGGAAGTCCCTGAAACTGACCAGATTCACTAGGCTCCTCCCTGCCAGAGTGAACAATAAAAGCTGAGTGTGGCTCTCAGACAGAAATAAAGCCGAGCTGCCAAGAAGACTCAGACCTGAACAGTTCCCTGGAAGAAGCAGAAACCAACTGAGCAGCCTGGAAGCCATGTAGACCAGAGTCCCTTGGAAAGGACATTCTCCAACCTGTTGAGCTGTCGGCAGGCTGTGCAGTGGGCTCCAGGCTCCTGGACTTTGTGAGCTGTCACCCATGCTTGAGTGGGCCTTGCTGACTGACACAGCTATCTTTGTATCATTCCTGCTGTAAGTAACTTCTCACCCACTGTAAGTAACCGGTTCACCAAGTTGGACTTTGGTGGTGTCTATAATTTGGTCTGATGTGGGACCCCTATCTGGGGTGAGTAGATGTGTGGGTTGTGTCTTCCCAGGAAGTTTTGCCATGCAACACAGTCTGACTATAGCTATCTGAACAGTGCCAGTTGCACCCCTTCTGGTAACATCTGTCCCTCAGGGACTCTCTCTCTCTAGAAAGACCCCTCTCCTAGAGAAGGGGTTTGGAAAAAAGCCATGCTTCTCCCTGCTAGCCACCCCCCACACTTCCACTCTTCTGCAGTCCAGGAAGCCAGGTGCCTTATGTTTTGTGTTCTATTTTGAGAGCACAGAGCCTCAGGTAGATGCCGGGGGTGGGGGTGCGGCACAGTGGCTGGAAGTCCCTCTCCATGCATGGACCATGCCCTGACGATAGCTCTTAGACAGGTGGAGCATGAAGGGACTGGCTCCTGAGTGTGTGGTAGGGGGGATGGTTGTGGAAGGGGAAGAGGAAGC